ACATCTAATTATTTATCAATTACATAAACATTACATCATTAATTATTTAATTAACCACAAAAATTACATCTTTATTAATAACAAATTAATTTTTAAACAAAACTATTAAATATAAATTAGGCAAACGTGCATTGCACGTTGCTTGCACCTAGTATATAAATAAATGTTAATAATTATACATGCGCGTAAATAAATAATTAAATTGTATAAAAAGTTCATTTTACATAAATAATTTTGTAACTATTTTTTGTATTTACGCATATTCAATTTTTTTTTACAACACTTATAAAATATTTTAGAATAACGTACAACGCACGTTCACGTGTGACTAACTCTATTAAATAAATCATATGATCTTACATTTAAGTGAATCTATAATTTAATGTCATGTATGTGTCATCTAAATTGATGCTTAACACCAATGGTATCAAATAGTTTTACTCCAAAATTTTAACAACTTTTTAAACTTTTCCAAGTAAGCACTAAAACCCCTATTTGGTAGAAATGAAAATCAAGATTTTAAGTTAAGTCAAAGTCAACAATTAATTTTAACCGTATATTAATTTATGGGACTCACAACTTTTCAATCTGATTTTAATCCCTAAATATTAATGAAATAACATAAGAAGTATGTATCGAAAGATAAAATACCTATTTGTTTACATATAAAAAAAATTATTCAACGATTTGAAATTTATTTCAAAGACAACGTTCATACAGTTGTTTGATATAACATTGTTATGTTTTTTCCAAAAAATTGGCGGTGAAAAAATTAAGCAGGTGAATATAAATTGGACGAGTCTTCTTCCAGGATAAATTGCCAATGTCTTTCTCCCAACAACCTCCTCATTCTTACTATCCATTCACTCATCTTTTATAAGCCCATTGGCGGTGGTTGAGCCCCCGGCCGTTGTTCTACAAGTGAGGGTGGCACGGAAGGGTGCTCGAGTTGAGACTGGTGGTGAGTCTATCAAATGTGGATTGGTTTCAGCAGCTTAAATTTGAAGCAATTCCACCAGCACGGCTGCCTGAGTTTGCTAGACAGTAAACTATTCCTGGTGGCTAACTCTGGTAGTATGGTTGTTTTGCGTTCCAGCTTGAGACTCAAACGGTAGGGACAGTGGTGCTACACTGCTACGGGACTAGGGGCGGAGATAGGCTGCCCAATCCCATTTATTTTTTAATATGTAAAAAAAATGTATGTATTAGCCCGGCGTAAAAAAAAATGATACTTCACCGACTCTGCCTCTGGTGCTATCCCAATTAGGATAAAACTACTTTGCTAGAAGGATTTAACAGAAAGTTTGGTACAATTGCGTGTAATAGTAGATAATTGGATGAAATAGTCGACTGTGTTTTAAACTGTTCAATGATAGAATGTTACATGACATTATGTCAATCCTGACTTCGATGTTGCATGATTCTCCCATTAATTTTCTTTTGTCTTGCCATGACTTTATGTCTAAAACGGTGGCTCAACTCGTAAAAATTGAGTTAAGTCTATGATTATTGAGCCTTGACCCTATACAAGTGTTAATTTATACTAAATCCAATATCATTAATCTCTTTATGTTTTTTAAAGGAGTTAAGTCTATGATTATTGAGCCTTGACCCTATACAAGTGCTATTTTATACTAAAGCCAACATCATCAATCTCTTTATTAGTTTACTAATCATGCTTAACTTTGACTTGTATGATCGAATAACTTATAAAAAAATGTAGAATTTTCCTGCTCGTCTAACTATGTTTCCATGCTCCAATTCCACGTAGAAAATGAGTTGGAAGAAAAAGACACCGATTTTGTATCTCATTGAATATAAATTAATAGAGAAATGTAAGCTAGTTGGTATTTTCAAGAAAAAAAAAAGATTGTTAACTCATCTCGTCTAAATGTTTAAAATTAAAATTTATTAACAAGTAAAAATAATTTTGGCATTTCATAAATACTCAAAACAAAAGCTTCTTTTGGCATTTCATAATTGGGAAAGCGACAAAAAGATTAGGGGCATGTTTGTGCCCCATTTGTAGTATAGAATGCATTTTGTAATAGTAGATTGATGGAAAATGTATAGTTAAAAATGAAGGAAAAGTTTTTGGATTGCGTGTTATTTTTAAAAAAATGGGGACCAAACAAGGACTCAATATTCGATTCTTACTTTTTAGGTTCGTGTAGTTATCTTCTTTCTGACAACTAATCACGATGAGAGCTAAACAACTATATGACCCGTATGATCTTTTAACACGATGGATAGTTTAGAAATCTTTCTCGTCAGAGGTTCTTGCCTTATCCCCAAACTTGTTGATTGCTTTTTTGTCTTTCCTCTAAAGTTCACTCCGGCGTGGATTATAATTTTTAGGTTATCAATATGTCTCGGCCCTGTAATTAAAAAAAAACTACTTGGGGCTTCCCACACATCTATAGATATTCAACATCAGGGACGGATTGGGGGGGGGGGGGGGGGGGGGGGGGGGGGGCAATTTTT